CTACACCAACAACTTGTATTCTTGATTTGTAAGGGTGCTTTCTCAAAACTAAATTATAAATACTTTGAACTGATGAAATTAGATACCGTGGATTTAAAAAATAGGATATAACGATCCTATTATAGATTTTAGAATTGTAAATGTTAAAATTTGGGGTGAAAACGGTCCAATTCAATTTCATAGAGAATCGAACCGAATTGGATGGGTATTTGAAAGGTGGAACCATGGGGTCCCATTTCTAAGTATGGAACGAAACGGTTCGATTTCGATTTCGATTCTAGTTAGGTTCAATTTGATTCCTTCGATTGAAGTTCTCAAATAGACTAACTAATTGATGCATGGAGTGTTTAAATATAAATGTTCTTAAGCTATAATCATTCAAGTATTTCATCATATGTTCATTAAACCATTTATGCTGATGTTAATGATTTACCTTTTTCAAATTTAACTCAATGCAACAATTTACATCAAATGATTTACTAGAAGTAGAATGGTATTGGATTGAACCATTTTATTTTTTATTTTTTTTTTGAAAAACCATGTCTCGTTTCACTTCCACTTTCTTTTATATTTTGAGGACGCCAAAAATATCAACTTGAAAGTGATAAAGGAATTCAAACCTCTCATTAATTCCAAAATCACTTCTATGGAATTTGAAGGATCCATTTGTCTAGGTACTTAAATAAATCACCATAATGAATTGAATATAAGTTTGTGTACTATTGTTAAAAAGGAAAAGTAAAATGGTTGATACATTGTACCACCATTATTTTGTATTAAATTGATGACCCTTGCTATTTGTACATAATTTGGTGTACATCAAGGTATCCACCCCCTCACATGGGGGTGGGACTCCCTTGGAGAAAATATTTTTTCAAGTGGGTCCCACCCTCATCCCTCATGTGAGGGGTTGATACCTTGATGTACACCCCCTCACATGGGGATGAGGCTCACTTGGAGAAAATATTTTTTATTCAAGTGGGTCCCACCCTCATCCCTCATGTGAGTGGTGGATACCTTGATATACACCCTCTCACATGGGGGTGGGGGGCTCGCTTGGAGAAAATATTTTTTATTTAAATGGGTCCCACCATCATGTGAGAGGGTGAATACTTTGATATACATCAAATTATGTACAAGTAGATAAACTCTAAATGGATTTTTGAGTTTCTCGGTAATAGAAACGAGAACGCACTAAAATCGTCCGGATTTCAATTTTAATATTCAGGATGGATTAGAACTTGAGTAGGGCTGAACAAATTCAATTAATTTCGGGTAACTTTTGCCTACCTCTAATTAAAATAATGTTTAGTTATTGATAAAGGCCTTAAACTTGAATGACTAATCTATAAATTTATTTAAAATACACATTATAATAGGAATCCAATTAGGATTTTAACAAATGGAGGGCGGACCTGAAATATAATTTCTAACAACTTTACTCCCTTTGGTAGAAATATATTTTCTGAGAAATTATTATGAAATTATGTTTTTGCCCCTAATATTTTTGCTATTGTAATTTGGACCTGAAATATAATTTCTAACAACTTTACTCCCTTTGGTAGAAATATATTTTCTGAGAAATTATTATGAAATTATGTTTTTGCCCCTAATATTTTTGCTATTGTAATTTGTACATATATATATATGTACAAATATATATATATACAGGCTCCAGCCTACAACTAGAAAATATAACTTTTTTCTTTTTAACATTCGACAAATTGTAGTTTCTCGACATATAATATATTAATAATGTCAAAAGATTTTGAGTTTCTTAAAAAAATATAATCGCATTTACAAATTTTACCATGAAAGACTAGACACGGGGGCGGAGCTTGGGGAAAAAATAAATTTTTTAATACTGGACTACTACATAAAGAAAAGTATTTCATTGAATTTATTTTTGTTTTTAGCTTCAAAAAATGAATTTGGCATGGGACAAGCCTGAGCTCGTGGCTTCGAATTTTCTTTTATATTAAGCTAATATATGAAAAATAAAAATTCATCATTTTTCCTTTTTACCTTCAAAAATGAATTGGGCTTAGGGCAGGCCTGCCTCCCTCCCTCTGCCCTTGACTAGACAATTGATGTATATTCATAAGCTCATAGCTCATGTTTGATGGTCATTATTTGAAAAAAATAATATTATAAATTGTGATTTTCAAAGAATGTGTAATTAAAAGTAAGAAAAAAATTTTGTGTTTACGTATAGAATATTTTATTATATTAATGTGTGGTTAAAAATGAGTATGTAAAAAAAAGTTTTCAATAGTGATCATCGAACATGGACTTAGACCATAGCTTTATAAATTTTAGTTTTAGCCATTTGTACAGAAATCAGGCCACAGAAATGCACCAGAAAACTCACAAAGCCCACTGTGTATAAAATAAAAAAATAAAAAATGCACGGGCCCCATGAAAACGACAAAGAGAACGGGCCCTAACTTTTTTCTTTTTAACATTCGACAAATTGTAGTTTCTAGCATTTTGAGTTTCTTAAAAAAATATCATCGCATTTACAAATTTTACTACGAAAGACTAGGGACAGGGGTGGAGCTTGGGGAAAAAATAATTTTTTTAATACTGGACTACTACGTAAAGAAAAATATTTCATTGAATTTATTTTTGTTTTTAGCTTCAAAAAATGAATTGGGCATGGGATGGGACAAGCCTGAGCTCGTGGCTTCGAATTTTCTTTCATATGAAGCTAATATATGAAAAATAAAAATTCATTATTTTCTCCTTTTTACCTTCAAAAATGAATTGGGCTTAGGGCAGGCCTGCCTCCCTCCCTCTGCCCTTGACTAGACAATTGATGTACATTCATAAGCTCATAGATCATGTTTGATGGTCATTATTTGAAAAAAAATAATATTATGAATTGCGATTTTCAAAAAATGTGTAATTAAAAGTAAGAAAAAAATTTGTGTTTACGTATAGAATATTTTATTATATTAATGTGTGGTTAAAAATGAATATGTAAAAAAAAGTTTTCAAATAGTGATCATCGAACATGGACTTAGACCATAGCTTTATAAATTTTAGTTTTAGCCATTTGTACAGAAATCAGGCCACAGAAATGCACCAGAAAACTCACAAAGCCCACTGTGTATTTTTTATTTTTTACGTGCCCGGGGTCATGGTGTGAGTATTCTAGCCCATTTCTGTTGATTTTTCGCTTCTGTACGTGTAGTACGTTTCATAAATTTTACTAGAGATTAATCTTCTTGGTGGCTATGATGACTTTCCAAGTTATAAATATCTTATAATTGAAAAAAAAATTAATGAGAAAGTTTTGATTTATTTTATTATTTATAGCAGAATAGGACATATTGTAGTCGTTTGCCAAGAAAATTGACACATAACAACTAGTAAGGTAGGCATGAACAATTCTACTTGTACATGAAAATTGTTTACAGGCGTTCTACAGGTGCTGTGGTGGCAACACATGTATCACTGCAGCACCTGTATAGGTATATTTTTTTTTTCAACTTCTAAAAAAATATTGCCACATGTCCCTTGTAAAAAAAAAATATGTGAATTATCCTTGTATTCATAGCATAGCTCATGCAGACATATTTAGCTGTGCAGTTGTACTTGAAGGCCACATCAAGTTTTCAGATGAAATATTGTTGGTGTATGGACACTCCTATGTACATATATTATGTACATCAAATACATCCATTTTTAGATTTTGATTGTTCAATGTATATATTGAGTTCGTGTTTGGTTCAGTTTAAAAAATTGATAAAAAATTAAGTTAAAATTAATAATTCATTTTAATTAAAATTTACTTAAAATATGATTTTCAGCAAAATCATGGTCTTAAGACTGTGGTCTGTGAATGGCATTGCTTTTGCCTTTTGTGCTTCAATTTATATAAATGATCATGCTACTCTTACAGACAAATGGTTTACAGATGTCTTACAGATACTCACAAAGATTTTTAATAATATAAAATTAAGTCTTTAAAAATACTATTTTACCCTTCTTCTTTATATTTGCAGGATATATCCTTTATCTTTTAGTTGTTTGGTCTTTCAAGATTATTTCTTTCTATACTCCTATTTGGGTCGTTAATTCTTAGAGTTAAATCTGAAATTCTTAATTCATTAATCAGGATGAATATAAAACTTATTTAATCTTTTAAATTGTTCTAGATATTCTCTGTATTTTATTAATTTTTCAAAGGCTCTAGGTTGGTCTTTTTTAGTTATATATCCAAAAACTATTCCTTCTGAGACTTCTTCTCCTATGTCTTTGTATTTNTTTCTTTTACATTAAAATTGTCCATTAAAGTTAAACTTTTTTTACAATTGGTTATTAAATTTTTTTTTATTTTAAAAAAAAAAAAAAAAACCAGCAGCACCTAGAAAACCATTTCTCACCTAAATGGTGGGAAAAAGTTTTCACGAATTTAAGGGAAAAAGTGCACGTGTGGGGGAGGGTGGAAAACATTTGGTATGGAAAAAAGTTGCTATCAAACACCAAAAAAAAAACGAAAAATGGAAAATCAATTCCATTTTCCATGAAAAAACAACCATATCAAACACACCCTTAATTGTTACTCGTCATTGGGTAACTCAAATAGTTATTGTTTTGTTAATATACTCGTGTTTATTATTATTTTAAAATATATTTTTTCTCAAAAAATTCTCTTTGATGTGCATCATGGCTAATTTTATTTTATTTTATTTATTTATTTTTCCCAAACGATAGGCTAGGCAGAAAGTGGTGGGGCCGATATTGTACTTGCCGTCGAAATCTATCTTCTCTGCCATAACTATTCACCGCCACTCACGAAATCAAGTATAAAGTTTCTTTATCTTCTCTCGTAATTGCTCTCATTTTCTCTCTTTCAAATCGCAACTGCTGACATTTCAAAGAATCTGAGTCTCTTTCTCAATAATTTTAGCTCGACTGCATGAAATCTTTTTTGCCATCACAACTATAAGCAGCTTTTCTTCTCCGACCAACTAAGGGGTTGCAGGGTCACTATGGGAGCCTGCAGCTCAAAGCCTCTTCAAAAGCCCAATCCTTATGCCAAAAGAGAAAATCCGGAACCATTACAAATCCGGGAACCCACCATTAATCTCGAAATTCCGGTTAGAGAAGATGGCGTCGAAAACACCGGGAAGAAGTCTCCGTTCTTCTCATTCTACAGCCCGAGTCCAGCCCGTTTCTTATCTTCCAAGAAATCTTCTCCGGCGGCGGGGGGAGGGACATCACAGCGGGGGATGTTGAAGATTCCATTTCCGCCTCCGTCGCCGGCGAAGCACCTGAAGGAGATGTTACTGAGGAGGCATGGCGGTGACGAGGCGGTGAAGGCGAGAGATAAAGGGGTAATGGAGGCGGAGAAGGGTCACGAGACGGCGGAATTGAATAAGAGTTTTGGGTTTTCTACGCAGTTTACGAGTAGGTACGAGGTTAAAGAAAAAGTGGGACGAGGACATTTTGGGTATACTTGTTCTGCCATTGCCACGAAGGGGAAGCTTAAAGGCCAAAATGTTGCCGTCAAGATTATTCCCAAGGCAAAGGTGTGTATGATTTATCAATAATACTATACAATACTTTTGGTTTAAACTTTAAAGTACTGAGCTTTTGGTTCCCTCTTAAAGGCCAGTCTTCTTAGATGGATCAAATTGCTTGTTTTTAAGCTTTGATACGGGTTGAGTTTTGGATTTCTATGTTAAACCAATGATGAATGTCTATGGTTTTTAGGAAATTTTCATTATAATACTTGTAATGAACTTTCTTTCAAAGTTGTGTTTTTGTTCACAAATTCTTGTTGGTAGTTTATTGGATTTCCAAGAAGAGTGTCTATGAGTATACAAGTCAAGATGGCCAGTCTCTTTCACAAGTTTTACAAGATTGCAAAAGGACTAGGTCAACTGTCGATCACGAGTTTGATTGCCCATTAAGAAATGCACTGGTGTATTGACCATGTTTATACAGTTCTTTGTCACATAATTGAGGGATTGAGATTTCATTTATCACATAAGCTTACAAAACCAACCGAGCTATACCAGATGAATAATTATTGGATGAATTATTTGGTATGTTATGATAAGTAGTCTACTTGAAATGCTATGCTTTGACATAAACCTATGGCTGCTGTAATCGGGTCCCGATCATAAAGATCCTATGATACACCCTTTTGTGGAGTCAGGGATGTTGGTATTGAAGAATCTGATTATTATATGGTCAATGGCCTTGCTTAATAAGTGATCATGGTTATAAAGCTTGCTCAACTGAGAATTCAACACATGCTTATCTCAACTGCCTAGCTGATCCTGAGTGAGAAATACCTTGGATTCTACCTGGCAAACTTAGGAAACAAAAATGAGATACTTGAGCAGCTTATGTTTATATTTTTCCCATGGAACTGGGATTGTTTCGACAAAAGGAATAAATATATGGGCTTCCCTGCATCCGATTGACTTATACCTCCCAGCCCTGCATCCTAAAAATTCTCATTTTAAGCACGAATAGTATATGAATTTATTGATTCCCTTGAGACCAAATGAAAGATAAGATGATACATAGTCTTAGTTCCTTCCATTGTGTCTGTAACCTTGACAAGCTTCTTAAAACTGTGATGGCGGAACTTAAATGAATTTTTCCTCAATAGTCTGGAATGATGTTTGTCTCTACTCATAGAATACCTGCCCAAGGTTGATTTGACTACATCTTTTGTTATTGAGAGCTCTTTGGAAGCTACAATATCATTATCTAAGTTTTTTTTTTTTTGGTAATCTCATTTTCTTCTTTAATGAACAAGGGACAGGAGTAGATGAGGTGATTGTTGAACCACCTCATCCAAAGGCCTAAGCTATTGTTGAACATGGCCACTCACGTTCATGTCAAATTTGTTTGTATCAAAGGTCAGACATGCCTAATTTTAAGAAATGGGAGCGGAAAAACTTATACTTAAAGCCTCTACCTGCACTGGTACCAGCACTTCGAATTATCTCATTTAAAACCTTAAACGTATTCCCTCTATAATAGCTTATGTTCTTAGATGAAGTGTTTCAAGAGTGGTCTGTGCTTGAGTTAATCGCTAAAGCTAGTTTTAGATGTTAAATTGGATGCCTTGTTGTTGTATGCAATTTCTATCTACGGGCTGCACAGCTTGCTAATTAGAGCTTTCTGGTTCAAACTGCTCTTTCTTTCGTCACACTTTATGGTTTTCATCAACGGTATGCTATTCAAGATGTAGCCAATTATTTCCATTTTATTGACAGATAAAATGCTTCACATGTTTCTTGCGTGTGACTTCTTGCTGCTAAGCTTTATTTTTTGTTATGCTGTTTCGATTTTTTTCCTTGTTTTGCTGCCAGATGACAACAGCAATTGCTATTGAGGATGTAAGAAGGGAGGTTAAGATATTGCGTGCCTTGACAGGACATAGCAATCTTGTACAATTCTATGATGCTTTTGAAGATAATGATAGTGTCTATGTAGTAATGGAGTAAGAATGCATTCGTTTAACATTTTCTATTATCTTAGATATCGGCTCACTTTGTCTATTCTGATTATTACCTTCTCTATAACTGAATGAATGGGTGTGGCTTGAGGCATTTTTAAAACATTTTTTGGAAGCGTTTTTCACCAATTTATTTGAATTTTGAGAAAAATGTTTGTATGGTGAGAAACTCCAGTTCAATACTATTTGAAATCATTTTCAATTATATGTATATATGAATTGATAGGAAAATATGGCTTAAAAATAATTTCATTCACCCAATCAAATTGAGTTATTTAATAGTGAAAAAAGAGAATACTGTATATCATCCAAAGATTGCCACTACATGGAAGTTAATTACCTCGCGTGTGTTTTTCAGGCTGTGCCAAGGAGGAGAGCTTCTAGATAGAATACTTGCGAGGTGTTTTTTGATACCGTTCTTTTAAATGTTTACTGCCATTCATTTGTTTTGTATTCATAACCATGATGAGCAATTTTTATATTTTTATTTGCTTTATTAGAGGTGGGAAATACTCAGAAGATGATGCAAAGGCTGTTATGGTACAGATTCTAAATGTTGTAGCATTTTGTCATTTCCAGGGTGTGGTGCACCGAGATCTTAAACCGGAGGTAACAAAATATCTCCATGTATAATCTTTTTTCCCTTCTCGTTCATGGTGATAACGTCTTGCTTTTCGATGCATTTGACTCCCATTGATGGTCCGCTTTTGTGCATTCTAATTATAGGATTATGATTTCTTACTTTCTTATCTAGTCATTGTCAAACTTATACTCCTCTGTATTCAGAATTTTCTGTTTACCTCCAAAGATGAAAATTCCGAGTTGAAACTTATCGACTTTGGCTTATCAGATTTTGTTAGACCAGGTTAGTCTTCTATAGCTGGAGTCCTGGGAGTCTAATTTTTTACATTATCTTGAAGGTTTGGATTGGATTCAATAACAATAGTCATATGCAGATGAAAAGCTTAATGACATTGTTGGAAGTGCATACTACGTCGCACCTGAAGTTTTGCATAGATCATACAGTACAGAGGCCGATGTGTGGAGTATAGGTGTAATAGCTTATATTCTGTTATGCGGTAGTCGCCCATTTTGGGCTCGAACAGAATCCGGTATATTTCGGGCAGTCTTGAAAGCTGATCCAAGTTTTGAGGACGCCCCTTGGCCTTCATTATCGTCAGAGGCAAAGGATTTTATCAAATGCTTATTGTACAAAGACCCTCGAAAACGGATGACAGCTGCTCAGGCTCTATGTGAGTCTCTCTCTCTCTCTCTCATAGTTTTGAAGCCTGACCTGTCTATCGACCCAGCTACAGCACTGGGTCACCGGGTTATGGGTTCAAATGATTGATCACCAGTTTAACTTGGGGGTCATTGGTTAGAGTTACAAAGCAAATTTTCATCATTTTTTTATACCTTTTATAATCTTTCGTTTGCAGGTCATCCATGGATCCGAAATTACAGTAGCTTGAAAGTACAACTCGATATTCTTATATTCAGACTAATGAAAGCCTATGTGCGATCGACTTCTTTGCGTAAGGCTGCCTTAAGGGTGTGTATATAATTGAACAAGTGATGCAAACAATTATATTTGGCCTCTACATGTGATCATGTAAACCTCTTGTATGTCTATCATCTCTATGGACTTTTAAGGGCGTCCTTGCAGATTTTAGCAAACTCTAGTTAAACTTCCTTCAAAAAACTTAGTTGATGGAAGGGCTAACGGTGAAGTTGAGAATCCTTTACATATACACACTCATTTCTACTTCCGACTTCTTAATAGTTTTCACCGAGGAAAGGGGAATAATTGTATTCGGAGGATAATGTGCACCTCAGAACTTCACATAATTTGTAGAAAATTTCTGTGACTTTATTGTGCTCTTTATTGTTATCATAATTTTGTAAAATTTGGATTTTTCGTAGCATGATATTTCATGGCACATTTTTTTCTACTGAGCGCTTAATGAGTTTTACTGTTCTAGTATCGTGATTTCCTAAACTGTAATGTAATATCTCCTGGCAGGCTCTATCTAAGACATTGACTGCAGACGAACTCTTTTATCTTAAGGAGCAATTTGCATTGTTGGGGCCAAACGAAAGTGGCGGCATAGCTTTAGAAAATATAGAAGCGGTTAGTTTATTTGATTTACTCGCCCTCAAAACCAGTAATTGCTCTCTCTCTCCTGACTCAGTTCAATATAGCATTTCCCATTATTTTATTCTAAGCAGGTACTGGTGAAAAATGCTACCGACATCATGAAGGTGTATCAAATTCCCGATTTCCTTGCATCAGTAAGTATGGATCGCTTCTTTCTAGGTGCCTGTGCTTATATATATATATATATATTTGTTTGTCGAAACTTGAAATCCGTGGACTAACACTATTTATCTGTTGTTTAACAACAGCTAAATGTGCTTCAATATAGAAGGATGTATTTTGAAGAATTCTGTGCAGCTGCTTTAAGTGTTCATCAATTGGAGGCACTCGACCGATGGGAGCAACATGCTCGTTCTGCATATGAGAATTTTGAGAAGGATGGAAACAGAATTATTCTCATCGAGGAACTTGCATCAGTAAGTCGAGTTTTCTGATTCTTAGTTTCTTAGCTGATACTGCTGATCACATCATCTAAGAGCTTAAACTATTAGAAACTACAAATTTATTGGTTATAATTTAACATAATCTTCAGGAACTTAGACTTAGTCCTTCAGTGCCAGTCCATGCTGTTTTCCATGACTGGATAAGGCACACTGATGGAAAACTAAGCTTCCATGGGTTTGTCAAATTATTGCACGGCCCGTCCAGCCGTTCACTTCCGAAGGGTCAATAAATGCTTAAAGCGCCTTTTTACACGAAATGGAACAGCCTCGAGGCATAGCTTGTGAACAAGAATGGCACGAACTATAAGCTTCAGCTTTGCTGATTGCTTCAAGGTTGGTTGTGGTAAAGAGATGGAAGTATAATTTAAGCTATACTTAGGCGATCCCATGATATCTTGTCCTCGTTCATAGAACCTTTCCTTTAGTACTTTGTAACTCGAAATAGAGTCTTTCTATTTGTGATTGTTAGATAGAAAAGTAATAACGGCTCGATGAAATTCTTCGTGGATTAATAAGAAATGAAGGCCAGAAATCCCGATGGAAACTGTCTTCTTGATTCTTTTGCATCTCAAAAATAACAAGTAGAAACCTAGCAGACCTATATGATTTTGCAAATGAAGGTGTGATTTTGAATCATTGTGATATTCATCATATTTCCCATGTTTGTTGATCTCATCGTTTTCATATTGTACATCACCATTTATTCATCGACTCAGATTCTATATCATCTCCTCATCGTCTTTGATCTTGAAAGCTGTAGTAGATTCATTTTTATAAAATCTCATTTATGTTCTTCGCACCTTAGGCAGAATTGACCAATCAACGCTTGTCTCCATATATATGGTGTTTGATACATTTGTCGAGCTTATATTAGCACAAATGATTTGTAGTTTTCAAATGAGAATCGTACCGCTCCAACTAGAATAAATCCATGCAATGGATATAGGTGTTCATGGTGCACAATCTCATCCAACAATCTATGCTAGTGGTCTTCATACTTGCTGAAACTCGCTTCTACAATTTGTTTGGTGGACTGGATTGTACAATATTGAATAGTATTAAAGAAAAAAAGTTAAAAATTTTGTTCATCATACAATTTGATATAACGAGGTTCAGTTCAACCAACACTTAAGGGGGGTGAATATATATATAATATATGGGATTAAACTAAAGAAACAATAACACGTAATAAGTCACAAATTATCGTATCTAGATGAAGTATAATCAAATCAAACCGTAGCAGACAATCAAGGACACAGGTCAAGAAGTAAAAAAAACAAAAAAATGTTTATGAAGGAAAACTTCTTGAAAAACACTTTTAAGAGATAAAATACCTTCGAACACTTCGTGCTAGTAAAAGATCTAGAGGAAAATATTTGACTTACAAAATTGATTCACACACAACTAAATCTTAGTAAATTCTGACTCCCGACTTGTAATCATCGAAAAATTCCTCGATTGTGCATTCTAACATCAACTCCAAAACATCTTAACTTGTTTTTGTTCTAATGGATCATCATGAACGAACTTGTTTTTCACAAATTGAACTTCAGTTATTTCTCTAGATTTTCAGAACTCTAAAAGCTATTTGGTAAAATGATTTTGTTGGTGTTCGATATTTGGGTATTTTAGTGTTTTGATCTTGTGGTTAAGTAAAGAGAATTATGGATTATGTAACTGATCTTCAACAAAATACTTTCTTGAATGGATAAAGGTTCGACACATGTTTTGAACGATTGGTTATTTATAATATAGCCCTTGTTTGATGAGAACTAAAATTAAATTTTGATAAAAGTTGATGAAATGCATGGTTTAAAAGTTCTGAATTTTATTAAGTGTTTGATTAACATTGTTGACTTTAATTTGGATTAAAATATGAACTTTAATTTCTACCAAATAGGGGCATAGAGTGTTTGAGGTTGTTTGAGATTGTAAAAAGGTTGAAATCACGATCTAGAGTTTGGCAAGATGCACAGATCGCTTATGCGCCCCACGGGCACCCAAAGGGTGGTCTCAAGCTGTTAAAATCGCTTGACCGGACCGTAGGCACCCATTGGGTAGACATTGAGCCTTCTCTTAGCAGTTGTTAGTGTTTTTGTAATATCTTTCTCTGTCGATCTTCAGTTGAGACGATACAAAGTGCGTTGAAAAGCTAATTAAATGGGTTACAATTCTTCTAGCAATATCATTTTTCAAATTCGTATGTTTTCTAAGCAAAAAATGGATCTCAACCCAGGGATGAAAATTTGAAGCATAACATGTGCGGCACTTTGATACTCATTTGACTTCTAATTACATCTATGTGATCTTCTTGGTCATTTCATGATCTTCTTGAGCTCATGTTGATTCCTTCAAATGACACTCTCAACACCTTGACCCTTATTACAACTCAATCAAATGATATTTTGGACACGAAAATTGCCAACACTTTAAACCTAACACAAATTAATCAAATTCATTACTACTTCAAAATATGCATTTCATGCACATGATGGATTCGATAGTCTCATTTGCTAATTCTGAAAATTAAAGGCATTTAAAACATAATAGGTAGGTGGTGAGCACGGAGCACTCTGACTCGATGACATATAAAATACCTAGTTATTCACCATGTTACTCGAGGGATTGTAGATGCTTCGATAAAGAAATGACAAAATGGTTATAGCCATTTAAGGAGTGGCAAAACGTCAACCTCTCCCGTTGCAAATGAACAAGATCTCCCTTGGTCTAATTCCACGCCTTATGACGAAAGCAGAGTTGGCGTTGCGTAAAGTGAAGATTGGGAGAGTAGAGAAAATCCCTTCTAGGGTATTTCGAAGGTGTAACCTAGTCAATGGGAAAGGAGCCCGATACTTCAACTAGCGAAGTGACCAGTTGATTCACCAAACCCAACCCATTCGTAGCCGACTTGCAAATTTAGTGAATGAATACCTTTTACTAATAGAGGTGTAATAAAAACTGTCCTACAGAATTAAACCATGTTATATTCATCAAGCACCACTCAAACATAAAACAAACAAAATATCTTGATCAAACATTTGTCAGTTTCACTGTATTTAAAAGTAATATCTTCTATTTACAAATTAAAAACACTTAGGTAAACATAATTATATATTTTTCAAATAAAAACAAACATATTCAAGTTCAGTTACTACTCAAACATATTTCGTCTTTGTTAAGAAATAAAATCTCACATCTCAAAAATGAAAATATAGATCAATTTATAAATGGTTTGGACTACTCTTAACAATGTTAACATTTTAAGATGAAACACACAAGTCTTAATATGGTATCAGATACCATTAAACTCCAACGAACAATTCAATCTAATTAAAACCGAGAAAAGTAAAAAACGAATTTCAAGATAGGTTTGGTTAAACAAGCTACCATCTTGCGCTTGCATGTTAAGAGATAAAATTCTACATAAGATGAAAACATAAATCTATCATAAAGGGTTTAAGCTACTTTACTTAACAAGGTTGATATTTGATAAGTGCATTTTACACACTTATATATGTCACAAAACATGGATAATTGCTTGCAACTATATTGAAATATGACTTGATTCTATATAAATTGTATTTTGTAGGATAACATTGATGAACATGGTGGAATTTAGGAAAAAGAAGCGAAAAAATGACTAAAATAGAAGAAAACCAAAGTTCAAGGACCAAATTGTAAACAACTGAAAGATGACTAGGAAGAAGAAACAAGGATGTGAAATAATCGAAGACCAATTGAGCGAAGGAATAAAGTCTTGGAAGAAGAAGAAGTGGAAAAAGAGATCAAAGAACGAGAAAACGGAGTTCGGGGACCAAAATGCAAAGAATGAAAGTTTTCTTGAACTATGCGGTCGCGTAGTTCTTCTTACATGCGGTCACATGTAGTACTTCAGAGAATTTCAGGGAGAATTTTATTGTTCTATGCGGTCGCATTAAATTGTACTATGTAGTCGCATAGTACATTTTTCGAAGGAAAAAATTTGGTTTCCTTGTATGGAAACAAATCTTGGTTGCGTGTTTTAAAACCCTAGAGCCGTCCAAACTAATGACAACATATTCTAAGAGACTTTTGGAGTAGAGAAAAAGTCAAGAACACGAAGATCGAATCTAACAACACGAGAATAAATTCAAGAATTATATTGGGTGATGTCGATTCTTGTATATTCTTTTTGTTTTTTCTTCACAACATGCTGGCTAGTTTTTTTTGTACTATAAGAACAATTAACCATCTCATATGAATTTTAATTTTTAGTTCTATATATTTGCCATCAAAAACATATTTTTGAATATAGAATGATTTATATGATTTTATTTTCTCCATAATTATCATGCATGGTAGTTGTGTGGGTGTGGTGACTTGTTTTATGCATTCGAAAGAAAGGAAATATGTTTGACATATATAAATTGTTATAGAGCCCGATAAGGAATAGGAATATACCGTTATGGCTTATGTGAATTTTTAAGTGTTCATAAAAATTCATATACTTTTATATGTTCGCATTCATCATATAAATATAGTTGAGTCATATATAAAAGTATGTTTAACATTACTCAAGAAAAATTGTTAAATAAAATAGGAACATTGATTCGTCAAATTCAATCGTGTTGTCAACGCGTAAACTATGATTAAAAATGATTATTGCACGGGAATTCGGGGTTCTAATATGTTTGTCATTCATTAAAATACATTAAACTGCGTTTAACATAATTTGCATCTAATTTAGTTAATTCACTCTTAATTGCATGAGTAGGTTAATTTAGATATAATTTAGTGATAACACATTATATTATTCTTGTTTCGGTTAAGGACGTGATAACTAAAATTGAACTAAATCAATTTCTGTGGGATGATATTCGGACTCAAGATCCACTTTATTACTTGTTAACGAATCGTACGCTTGCGATAATTTTAATTCGAAATATATTTTCGTGAACAACATTTTAAGATAGAACCCAAAGTTTTATCAATCTTCTGGATCATTGAAAACTAGTCTGGTCGTGCATAATCATTTTATGGAGTAGTGTCAACATGTACCGGACCGTTTAAGTAAGATATGATTCATCAGTGAAACAATTGGATTCGAATTAGGTCGTCTCGATTTGGGCGATACATGAATTGGCCAATCATAATGATCAGATTGTGCAAGGTTTGATTGTCTAACCAAGACAACTGGCTGATTAGCCTGGTAATAAAAAAAGACTCAAGGAATTTATTATTATAATTCTAATATATATTTTTTAAGAGTGTTTCGCGCGTTTTTTCGCTCGCTAACAATTAAAAGGGAATCAGAAGATTGTGTAAGGGACAAACCTCTTGGAACAAAGTCCCAAAAAGGGGTGTTTACCAAATATGAAGATTACAGTTTAGACACGAAAATGATGCCTCCAAGGGGCGCAAGCACACAAATACAAGGGAATTTAAGTAATTTAAAGTTACTCTATGAAAACTAGATTANTCTGCTCTGGGCGATTGTAGGGTGTTTCCTTCGCTCAATATCTGGGCGTCCTGCCGACTTGGGCGACGTCGTGCTTTTATCTTTTTGGGCATTCCGCATATTTTAATGACACTTCTGATTGGGCCTTTTATCCTGATTTCTCTATCTGTGCTTTTTCTTTGGATCCATTTCCTCTCTTGGGCCATTTGATTTGGGCTGCCTGTTTCGTGTGTCAACAAAGAGAATCAAATTTTTCGCTACAAATATTTCTTTTTCTTCTATGTTTTTCTGTATATCTCATCTCTTACACAATATTCATTTTTTTAATCAACAAATTTATTAAATTTTCAAAAAGTTAAAAATGTTGGGTTGGATCAGCCTAGTTAACAATATTAGTGGGTCCACAGGCCAAGCCTGTCCTCAGGTTTGGAAAACCATATGGGCCTAGCTCGAACCATATTTTAGTTCAACGGGTTCAAACTTATGACATGCCTAAATTGAGTCTAGTTGTAAATGAATTGGTCTAGTATAATCCAACTCACGCATTTTGCCATCTCCATTATATTGAGTACTGCACAAGGTGTACCAAAACTTTCAAACACGAGAAGTTAGGTCCCAAACCTTTAAATCAATATGTAGTGTGAGAGTGAATTGCCTATTTAGTCACTGAACATTCAGTTATGCACGCAAGGGGTCACTGAACTTTTAAAATAATGTAACTAGTCATTGAACTTTACAATTCATCATCTCAGAACTCACTGAGCAAACGACCGTTAATAAATTAGACGGAATTTCCACGTGATAGTTGTTGTCATTACAATTCATCATCCCATAACCATTGTTCTAAAAAATGGGAAAATGCGCCGCCTAGGAGCGCCTAGGCGCGACGCGCGACCAAAACGCATCGAATTCGGGAAATGCGGGAAAAATGAGCTTTCTAACTAAAAGGCGCGCCTAATGCGCGCCTAGGCGCTCATTAGTCCGTCTAATCTTTCTCTTTATTTTATCAAACATACATTCTCTAATAAAATATGATTATACATAAATAAAAAAAATCTTTCTTTTTTTTATGTATTTTGAATAAAATGAAGCCCAAATAGGAACTTGTATAAATACCCTTACTTTTGAGATCCTTTTGAAAAATTATTATAAACTGATAAGTACTTGATGCTACTGTTGAATTCACAATTGATAATCCAGTTCAGGGCCTGAGCTTAGAAATTCATTCAATGCAGGCTCTATTTAATTGACATCAAATTCTGAGTTTTTGGTCATGAATTTAATGATGATAAAAACATAAAATAATATTAAGACAATACTAAAAATAACATAGTTTATAAATGAAACTTGTTCCTTGCGAATTTCATACTTTGATATCGTTGTACAATAACGTCATTTGATAATCTTCAAAAATATCTTTCTCTACATAAATAATTATACTATCATTCATCTACTGATCACCCATCCGATTAATCAAGATATTCTTTGCAATGCTTATCGCAGAAAATACTCTCTCCATAATAACAATAGCAACCGATAAAATTAACGCTAAAATCAAAAGATTGTAAACCAATATATATATACTTTATTATTCTTTGTTATAATTAACTTCTCTGCAAAATCACTAAGATCATTCAACCTTTCAAACTATTTGTTAGAGCACATTTAAAAAATTTATGTTTGAAATTGATCATTAACAGGCCATTTGATCCCATTATTCCACATTATAATTAGATGAATATTATTTTTTTGAAAAATATATAGTTAAAAAAGAATGATTTTTTTTATTTGCGTGTAATCTTATTTTTATAAGTTTTAAATTGATCATTAAGTGCCCGTTTGACCCCATTATTCCACATTATAATGAGAGGAATATTTTTTTTTGGAAAATGTATAGTTAAAAAAGAAGGATTTTTTTATTTTCATGTAATCTTATTTTATTGGAGAATGTTTGTTTGATAAAAAATAAAAAAGAGAAAAATGAATTATAATTTAATGGGGAGCAATGGGCGCCAGTAAGAGTGAATTGCCTATTTAGTCACTGATCTTTCAGTTATGCACGCAATGAGTCACTGAATTTTCAAAATTCATTGAGTTGTCTCGTCACGTCAGCTGCCACGTGGAAATTCCGTCTAATTTATCAATGACCATTTGCTCAGTGACTTCTAGAATGATGTATTGTAAAGTTCAGTGATTAGTTGTGTTATTTTGAAAGTTCAGTGACCCCTTGCGTGTATGGCTAAAAGTTCAGTGATTAAATACGCAATTCACTCTGTAGTGTGAGGTCCTTCGAATAATTTTCATCCAAAATATTTCTAATTGACCCGTGAATCATCAATTGACCAAAACTTGATCAATTTGAAAAAGGACAAAAATGTCCTTTCATGTTATATATCACTTAAAGTGATTAAAAAAAAGTAATGAAAAACAAAAAAAATAAAAATAAAAATGAACAAAAATAATATTTTTCTTTTCCCAAAATTTAATACGTCTTCCCCAACTAATGGAAAGGGGACGAGTGGTGGTGGTTACGAATGTGTGGTAAATTATGGTTATGGTGGTGGAGACGACAACAATTGCAATTTGGGTGGGGGTTAGAGGGTGGTAGGATAAGGTAGGGTTGGTGAAGAAGATATATTTTTTTTATTTTTCATTATTTCATTATTTTCTTATTTTTAAAGTTTTCATCTCTCTTTTTTTAATAATTTTATATGAGATAATACGAAATTACATTTTTCCCATCTTTAAATTGCTCAATGGGCGACTTATGGGTCAATTAATGATTTTTTGCACGAAAACTGTCTCGTTGCATATTAATTTATATTTAAAACTTTGGCAGCAAAAATGAAAGGTTGGGACTTTGGCGCAATTTCCCTTTTTATTTTTATGTCTTTCGTTGACTTCAAGACGTCGTCGGATAAAGGGATAGCAATTTTTGGTGAGTTAGGGTTTATTTAGTGGCAATTAATTTTACATTATTTGGAAACGAAGAGGGCTTTCTGTGCATCGTAAAGAATATAGAAACTTCGGATCGTAAATTCTTGATTTCCAGAATTAAGTTTTCCATTCCATCACAATCGCCGGTAGAAGAAGTTATTTGCCGCCATGACCGAGGTTTGTACTCCTTCCTCTGTGTATTGTGTTTGTATTTTTTGATTTGAAGCTAAAAGATTGCGTTTAAAGACCCCATTAATTTGTTACATCGAAAAATGTTGATATCTACGAGTGTTGTTATCCACCGGAAACACCATTAGAAATCCTAAATCCACAAACTGCGCAGTATGGGACTAGAGCACTGAATTGAAATTCAGGAAAAGATTTGGAATGAATCAGCAGGAGTAGAATCGACATTTTTAGGGGCAGTTTCGAAGAACTAATTATATGATGCCTAATTGCAGAGTATGAATTAGCACCATGAAGTTAGATTTGTTAACCATCAATGGATATCCACTTTTACGGATGTAATAATGCAAGATAACTAGTATATAACTGGTTGTGATTCTACTGTTCAAAATCTAGCTACCAACTTAGAAGTTGGGCTAATGTTTTTTGAGCTAGGTAATTTCCACCTCTGAAACTCAAAAGATAACTGTGTATCTATATAATGATAAAAACTTCTAGCTTGGGATGCACCCTTATCATGCCCTTGAAGAAATCAGTAGCATGTATGGCTTAGCTTAAAAGTGAAAAAAGAAGCCAAAATTGTCTTCTTTTTGGGCTTTTCTCACCAGTATCTTGGCTTCTTTAAAAGAAGCCAGCCCAAAAATGCTGTAGATATATTCAAAATATTTTATCAGGGTGCTAGGCAGAAGCTTTCCACTAGATATTACACCTGCAACACTCATCTTGTTCATCACATGGAGTATTATTTTCTCTTATTTTTTTGATTGGTTGGAATGGAGTTGCTACAATTATGAAGTTATTGTGAGGATGAAGGTTTTACAATGAGTCTTCGTTTGTCTCTTCCTTTATTCAAATAATCTTTGTTGATTGGTTCCTCACTTTCTGTCTTATACTCTGGTTCTGTTTAGTAGTTCTATTAAATTTGATTAAATTTTGTTAGCGGGTTAAGATATTCCTGTTTGTTGTTGTTCAGTTCTGGGTTAGTCAGGGTAACAAGTGGTGTGACGTTTGCAAAATTTATATATCCAACAACCCGGCCAGCATTAGAAACCATGACCTCGGAACACGTCACAAGGATAATGTTACCAAGAAGCTCAATACCATGCGACAAGACAAAGTTGCAAAGGAGAAAGAACAGAAGGAAGCAGCTCGTGTCCTGGAACAAATTGAAGCTGTAAGTGCAAATTTTGTATTGCAACTGTTTATTATCTTTGTTACAAAACATTAATCTTTTTCTTATGATGTTGCTTATATTTACTGATTTCACTTGTTCTTATGTTGGTGTCTTGTATCATCTATTATACCTGGGAAGGTACAGCGATTTTGTATTGTCCTGGTAACTAAATTATCTAAATATACACAAGAACCATTGGGACAATGGGACACAGATGATTTCAACATTTTTTTGTCATAGAGACTATATGCTTAGTATTATAGCGATTTAGTTGCATTATACTCTGATCCATGCCACACGCATTTGAAGAGGTGATTGGTTCTTTTCTTTATATTTTTCTCTCTTTAGGTTTCCCAATTCATTTATTGTTTTCTTTTTGGGGCTTTCTTATCACGTTTTAGTGAATTCCAAGCATCCAATCTCCAATTACTGCTTCCTGATAAGTGGAGAGGCAAATTGATTGGAATTTTAGGATCAGTGGCTGGTCAAACATATGTATTGTCAGGCGTATGTTGGGATATAATATCTTCAGATATCCTGCCCATTGAAGCTAGTAAACTGTTTTACATGTAACTGCATTGATCAAATATTAAAATGTTGCTCGTAAACTAGATAGCTCCAAGTGATACATATAACTTGTTTTTGGGATGTGGGTGTGAGTGGGATAGCCGGAGGTGGGTGGGAGACACATTTTCTTTGTAAATGGATCTGTGTATGCACACATGCTCAGACACATACAATATTCTCACACTCACTAACAAAGGTCATCCCCAGTACTCATTGATGGGACTGGCATTTCATAAACCCTGCTCACGGTTCCTTGAGAGAAGGTACATCTTACTGTTTAATCCTTCGTAACATTATGATAATTCAATAAGAATTAGCATTAAGATAATACTTTCACAACTCACAGAGAAGGCGATACATCCATGAAGAGCAATATCACATGGAAGCTATTTTAACCCCTGTTTGGCCCTCATTTCTAAAAATTCATTTTCCCCAACTCATTTTCAGCCACACAGTTCATGAGACCCACAACTTTTATTAATTTTTCAACCATACATATTACATTTTATCAACTTTTTTCAAAATCTACTAAAAATCTGAATTTTTTATCAAAACCAAGCAGGGGCTTAGTATGTTTATGGATGTTTCTCTTGATTCCAAATTTCCAATTTTATAATCTGCAATTCTAGCCTTGAAAGTTCTTAGCTATCCATGTTACTATTCATATTTAGAGGACTAAAGTTTATCACAGAGTTGACAGCATAATTGATTCTTATCAGATTTGGCTTTTATTACAATTTAAAGCACACGAACCAGTTATTTAGAATGAGATGTACACAAATTTTTTATAATTTTGATGCTTAAGTTGTCTTCTCATTATTCGACATATCTTCCAGAAAGCTAAGCGCAGTTATCAGAAGGACCTGGCAGTTTTCCGGGAATCAAGAGATTCTAATACACAGGCATTGGTTTCTGAAGACAGTGGTCAGGGGATTGCTGAAGGATCCACATTTTCTGGAGGTAATAAAAATTGGCTGTTTAACGTAATGAATAATTTTGGTATGATAAGACGAGTTTGTGCTATATATTTGTGTTCACCAGCCTCAGGGCGGAGAATCGTACACATGCGTGAAAAAGATCTCCTTTCCAGATTATATCTTCTGTCAGCTAGTTACATTTCATTAGACAGTCTATTTCTTAGTGTAAATTAAATTATGCCTGTCAATCGAGCTAACTAATAAGACTTCATTACTGGAATTTCTGCAGTTCAGCAATGTCATTGTTTTTCACAGTTGTGATGAGAATATCATGATTTATTTGCTATAAACCTGAAAATGATGTTTTCCTTGTATGATTTCTTGGAGGCAAGAGATTGAGCAAAATTCCTGCATTTATAGGTGCTGTTTATCATTCTATTCTTTGATAGAGTACCAAGGATTGATGATCTCATGAGCAAGTTTGTGTTACTTCTATTTGTTCCTTTTCTGGTTTGTTCTACTTGTCTAAGACAACTTTTATTATGACAGAGTGGGAACAGGACAGTTCATCAGGCTATTACTACAATCAAAAGACTAATTGTTACTACGATCCAAACTCTGGCTTCTACTATACAGATGCTCTAGGTATTGGGTAAACCTATTCTAATTCTTTAATCTTTCTGACCTTGCTCCTCCAAAATATCTTTCTTTCTTAACCTTGGTCATGGTATGTCAATGAAACAGGCAAGTGGGTGACACAAGAAGAGGCGCTCGCCGCATCTCAAGTTTCTTCAGAGTCCATCCAAAGGAAACCTAGTTCAGGAAAGCCACCATCAACATCCGAGAACAGACCAGCTGCTGAAACAAAAAGTATCTCTCTAAGTGGACCTCCACCTGGGCATGTTGTGTCGGCACCACTCAATCCGATGAGATCCGTGAAAGGCGTTGCTTCTCAACTTACTGTCAATAAGAGGAAAAGATCAGCTGAAAAGCCAAAAGCTATGTCTGCAGCGGAAGCTGCTGCCCTTAAGGCGAGGGAAGCTGCGAGAAAGAGAGTTGAAGAAAGAGAGAAGTCATTACTTGGTCTTTATAAGCATTGACACACGTTGGCTTCAGGAAACTCTTTTTGATATATGAGGTGAGTTTTAGCATGTTGGCCACCCCCCCCCCCCCCCCCCC